AAAAACAAAATTTTTTTTTCCCCCCCCCCCCCCCCCCCCCCCCCCATTCCCCCTTAATCCGGCCCTGTTTCTGTGGATGATCAGCAACAGGACCAGCCTCAGATTCGTCTTCTTCAGTGAAAACTCGTGAGAATCAATTATTAGAGCCTAAGCCTTACCATGTCGGCACTTGTCCTATTGCCTCTATTACCCATAGTGAGAATTGCATGAACATCAGTTCTCAGCATTCGAAGATTGCTACAAAAAGGTTTATTTAGTTTCCGTCAGTCAAGCATCCGGAAATTTTATTTGGAGAGGGGGGCTTGATGCTTCGGATGGATTAGGGAACACCAGTGTCGTATATAGGATTTTTGAAAAGAAGAGGGCTCAGTATCTTGATATTTGAGTCTCGACGTGGGGAGGACTGGGAGAGGAAAGCTAAGACCCCTCCCTCTTCCTGGATCCGTCACTGGTTTCTCTTGGCGTTTTCCTCTTGAGTCAGGCAATTTTTCACTTGACAAGGATATAGCCATCCGAGTTCGGGCAGCATAAAATAAATTGTTATATAACTAAGCATTCGCGAGATCACCCTCAGTAACAGCTCTTCCTAGTAGCGAAGAACTGTTTTTGAGGGAGAGCACACGACTGCTTGGTTTTGTACAAATTTATTAAATGCTGCCAGAACTTAATGATTTTATCGTAGGTTCTGTAGGGGCATGGGTTGTTCCTCTGGTATGGTGTTCGAGTCGGTGAAAAAAGTTCAACTCAAGTGAAAAACACTGCTTTAATTTTTGTCAAGCGTCAGCATTCTTTGACAATGCACTGTTCAGTTCTGTCTGAGAGTGTTCGCCTTACCGTTTGGGTCATCACTGGGGCACAGGCGTCCATCGTGACGATCACGTGGACGAGGCATTTGGATTGAGCAAGGATCAAAATCCCTATTTTTCCGTCTGTGATGTATAAAAACACGCCCATGTGGCATGGCAAGATTATTTGGCCACGTGGGCCTGTCGTTCCGAGAAAAGCAGCTTTTTCTTCTTCTATCCGTCTTTTCTGCTGCAGCTGTGATCATCATCTGGTATTCTCTTCGACGAGGTGACTCCTTAAAGTCATTGCATGTTATGGCCTAGGACCTTATGTTAGGCATAAATACTACGAAGTAAATCAAGGGATTGACTTGGCCCTTGCCCAAGCTCAAGGGATCTAACCGTTAGGTCTAATATTAAAACTTTTCCGGTATAGCGCTAGAATTACAGTGAGCCTAGACCTAGTAGCTTTTAGCCAATAGTCTGCTAATCAGAGCTGTCTGCCGTAGCTCAGTAGGCCTATTATAGGCCCGCCAGAGATTGGTGCAATCGCCTGAAACAGAGTTGCTACTGTTTTTCACATGAGTCAGACATTTTTTCACTTGCCTTGGACACTCGTGCATGGGATGTCTCTCATGCATGGGTGTCCAAGTCAAGTGAAAAAAAGTGAAGAACCCTGTAGAATGGAATTAGTCAAATACTTTTTATTGTTGAGGAATGATGGCCCAGTGAGGGGGGTGGGGTAGAGTAGGGATTCATGGCCTTTAGAGGGTGTGGATTAGTTGATGGGTGTTTTTCATTAGTTTCATGGTGATAGTCTGTATCATCTGAAGTATCTTAGAATTTATTATTGAACTCATGAGGAGCTGTTCTGTGTAGTAAGCTCAATTCTCCTGTAGACACCCATTATAAGAAATAATTTTGCCAACTAAAATTCCAAAGACAATATCAGTCAACTTCACATCATCTAAATAAAACTTAGGGATTTCAACTTATAATCAGTGCAAAGTCAGTGCAGGGTGGACCAAGAAAACTGCCCGACTTTTGCAGCTCATATCTCAGGATTTGTAGGAGGTAGAGGAATGAGGTAGGACTCACTGGATAGAGCATTTAGTTGGCTTTAAAATGAAGCAACTATTATTTCTATTTCTATTTTTTAATTTCTATATAATCACTGTTTTAAAAGTTTGAAAAAAATGATACTGTCATCCATGATTAGGAAACTCATTAATTATTCGATTCAGAGAGTATTGCTTCTCCTCTCACGAGGCCTTATTCAGAGCTTTGTGTGATTCACTCAAATCCATCATGAAGCTTCAAAGTTCCAGGGCAAACAAAAACACTACTTCAAAACTGCGCACTAAGAGGAGTGATATGCTACATGCGTAATATTGTGTAGTGTTTACATGTAACACATAAGCTGCCAAACTGCGCTGCCCACCCAGCACTGAGAATGCCCAGCAGTAAGCAGAAACACAATAAGGGCACCACTCAAGATTATGCCATCGCTGCAGCAGTGGCAGCTCAACTGTTGCAAGGGCTTTGGAAAAGCAACTGTACAAAGCTTTCCTGTCATCTTTTGTCAACTCTTAATGTACTGTTTTAAAGCTATAGAAATGCCCTTTCTTATGAAAGGCACTGGGGTTCCAAAATACTGCACCATTCCTGAAGTACAAGCTGAGAAAAAGCTGTTCATTTTTTTTTTGCCCACTCAGTATATATGTTTGATTATGACCAGAGGTAGGCAGTATTTTAAATAGTTGCTTTTAAAATATGTATTTCAATACATTTCAGTTACTTTGTTTTGCATTTAATCACAATTTGTATTTATATTTTTTATTTGAAATACAGTTCCCTGCAAAAAATGTATTTTGAAATACATTTGACAAAATATAAAATACTTTTTAATTGGTTTGGTGTAACTTCAAGCATGGCTGCCTCAGAAGCCTTGTCTTCTTTATTGGATGGAAAGTTCTTCAGTATTGTTGAAAGAGAGGGGCAGAAGGTCAAGGCCAAATGTGCTGCAAGCTCTACAGAGAATGTGATTAGTGGAACTCTAGCTACAACATCCAACTTATTCAAAAATTGAAGGTTGATTGTGTTGTAATATCTTGGTGTGAATATGCTGACCTAACCAAGCAAGGTTTTTGATTTGTGATATATTTAAACCTAAACTTTAAAATCATTAAATCTAAGCCTTGTGCAAACCCAAATCTTGCCAATGCAGGTTAATATTTCTGTTCTTTGCTTTCAGAGAGTACTGGGTGTAGCATATAGGCAGCCTCCCTCTGCAGCCTAAACTATAAGAGCTAGGGAAAAAGCGTATATATCATAAGAAAGAGCATTCATTTTTTAATCAAAACATGTAGCCTACTTCTAGTAATTTGTGTGAACTTTGGCTATGTGTCTGACAGCTTTAAGATAAAAGAGACGCTTAAAGAGTTCTGTGTCATCTTCCATGTCCTTCAGCAATCTTGTGATATTGCTTTGCAAGGCTTCTCAGGAGAATCCACACTGCTTGCTCTCCATATGCACAAGAGCCTCAATTTGATCTTTCAGGATAACCCCAATGTTCTCATCCACATTCAGATCAGGAGAGTTTCCCAGCAATTCTGCATTTCCAAAAAAATCAATCCCTGAGTCAAAGGCATTTGCTTTGGCATTTGCTGTGTGGTCAAAGCTTTGAGAAACACGACTTTATGAGGCAGAAGCTGAATGTTTAATCTTTTTCAAAACCCATGAATGGGTAATGACTTCAGCTCTGGCATCACAAGTTCATCAAAACATAGTAGCTTGGATATGATCGATGAATATACGTTTTTCAACATCATACAACATCAGAAACAACATACTAGGATTGAATATAATCAAAATTGAATAAGGATTCGAAATATGTATATTAAGATTTTCCCGCTCCTATAGCTTGGGCTTTGGGGGGGGGGGGGCTATCTATGTGTACATCCAGATCTTGTTGAGGATTAAAAATGGTATATGGTGGAGCAGTATGGGATTTGGAAAAGAAAACAGAAAGAATGCCATGCTCAGCCAATGTGCTGTGAAGGCCAATAGATCAGCACTTCTGAAGGGTTCTTGATTTTGGACCAAATCTGAAAAGCATGATGTTAACTTGAAAATTTTTATATTTTGTATTTGAAATAATATTATTGGGCTGTATTTTTATATTGTATTTACAATACATTTTTTCATGGACATTTGTGTTTCATATTTAAATACTCAATCACTTGTATCTTGCCTAGCTCTGATAATGGTATCTTTCACACCTGGTATGTGAAGCCCAACATCGTATAATTTCATGATCAGTTTTGTCTATTTAACCAATGTATCTTGCTGTTAAAAATGAATAACTCTTGAACAAAGCAATTATGAAAACATTCCTGGGTGCTCATATACAACAAAAGTTTGTGAGCAAGAATTTCCAGTGCATTTGCTCAGCTGAATATATTATAATCCATGTTGATATGAAAAGAAAGCTGCAGATACATGATTTACACTGGTGTCATATCTGATAATTGATGGTCTCATTAAACCCTTGAGATCCTGCATCCAATCCAGTACATGGGAAGGGGAGACTTACTTTGTAGGAAACACCATGTGTGAATATAGAAGAAAAAAGTTTCAAATCTTTATTTTATTATATTTCTTTCCAGTTCACAAATAAACCTGGGATAAGGTGTGTTAAAATTAGGGCTGTACCAATGCATTGGCAACCATTGGTATAACACCATTGGTGCAATCAAGCATTGGTAGGTTTGCAAGCTGCTGAAGCTGATGGTAATGATTATTAGAAGCAATAGAAAAGAGTAGAGCTGCCTGTTGCATCAAAGACTTCATTTCCCATTCACTTACCCCCATCCTCCTCCCACTCTGATCATGGACAAGAGATGGCAAAATATGGAAGATGTCCATGGTCAAATCAAGATGTGAGATGGCTGATTTCCCCCCCCCCCCCTCCCTAACATGATGCATCGATGCACCATCAATGGTTCAGGTTGATAAAACAGCTATTGTGACAGTACCAAAAAAACAGAATATGCCTCCATAAAGGTCTACTTGAAGGAGTATTTTATATGGATTGCAGCTCTTTATCTACACGTCCATTTGCACCAGTGCCAGCCAATTGATATGAGGTCATGATTGGACATTGGTACATCCCGAGTTAAAATGACACTACAAAATTGTGAAAATACTACAAGCAACTGCTGGAAATTTGTGGATACATTCATAAAATGTTGATGTTATAGTCTATAAAATCTTGTTTCAGATTGCCTTGGGAATCACCACAGTGATTTGGGGCTCAATTGGGACCTTCATCAAGATGAGACTCAGAAAGATAGACATTCAAGACTGCAAAATGAGTGCCAAAAGCGAGGATGGAGACCAAAACCCAGAAATTGCAACCCCTCTAATCTAGCAACAGATCTGCTGGGCCATCAAGATCTCCTCCATCATTTGCTAGTAGATGACAAGAACTCATTATTGTACTGCTATGTCCCGAAGGTGAATCACCCATCCTATGCATACCATCAATTGGCAATGGATAAGCTGTATTCATTTTGATTTTGTTTGTGTACCCATGGCCAGGTAGCATCAACAAACTGGAAGCGTATATTCATGATCCTTCAGGGAAAATCATCTGACAATAATCCCTTACACATTCAAGCATCTACTTCTCATGAAAGTACTATTCTTCCAAGACTGAGCAGCTTCCCTCTTCGTGAAGCAGCTCATCGACTTCAAAGCTACTTCAAGTTTGTCTTTGTGAGGCATCCCATTCATCGACTCATCTCTGCCTTCCGGAACAAGTTTCAACTCCACCGCTATAACTCCACTTATTTCTTAGACAGATATGGCAAGAAAATTATTGCTTCTTGTAGGAATAGAGACTCTAATGCAAACCAAAGCCTTGAAAATGGAAGTTCCAGGAATTATTCCATCACATTTGAAGAATTTGTTTGCTTCATCACTGATGCAAAAAGTTCCAAGGAGAGGAAATTTAATGAGCATTGGCAACCCATTTATGAATTGTGCTCACCTTGCTTTATCCATTATGACTTCATTGGTAAATATGAAACCTTGACAATCGATGCACAGAAGGTTCTTGATCTGGTAAAGGTGAAGCATCTGAAATTCCCTGATCTGAGGTCCAGGTCCTCCACTGCTCAGGAGATTGTAGAAAACTTTATGGGCTCATTGTCTGAAGAATCTCGCCAAAACCTGTTCCAGTTGTACAATGATGATTTTGAGCTTTTTGATTACGATCTGTGATAGTTGATGCCTTAGGCAGAGTCTTTATCAAACAGTCAGAGTGAGAACACCACACTTGAATACCTCATGACTAGGGCTGTAGTGGTGGCTGTTTGAAAACATCAGTGCATCAGTCAGAACTATTGACAATGCATCAAAGCCTCAAACTGTCAGTGGTGATATTAATTCATCATGACAGCCCTACTTATGACTGACTGATATGGAAGCCAATTTGCTATGCATACTTTGCATTGTCTGAATTGTTTCCAGGAAATTGATGTGGCAATAGTATTTCTGATAGCTGCAAACCTTTGATTCAAAGAATGAGAGTGCCTTGGTTTTTGTGATATTGTATATTTCTTATGTTTCTTGTGCCAAAGTATATTATAGCTTTGCAGATTACTTCATTTATACCCTGCCAACATCTTTTCCTTTTGTCAGCAGTATTAGAATAACTTTTTACTCCAGGAATTAGTGCCTTCTCAGGGTCATGTTGACCAGTTTTCTTACTGTGCCTTACAATTGCAATGTGTCTGGTTATAGTGGATCTTATCCATGGTCTGTGGCTTTTCTGGACCATATTCATGATGGTTTCATGTGGCCAAGTGATTGTAATACCCAGAGGCAACCAAAGCACAGTTCTTTATTTGAAAATATGTAGGAAATGCTCCTTGAAGGGATTTGACAATACAGAGAGAGCATGGACTCAATCATGTAGATGATAGCACCCAGCAAAGCTATCATCTCTCTCTTTGCCATTTTTAAAAATAAAATTATGAGAGAGATTTGGTATGGGAACTAAGTGTATGCCTTTCAACCTGCTTGGAATGTTATTTCATGATTTAAACTCTGTGAACTACCTGAATGAAGTTTTCACTTCAAAATTGTTTATTGTCTTATGGAAATAAATTTACCTTCAAGTGCCTCAAATGTACCTTTTTTAAAATTTTCCTTGGAAATGGGAATGCATTATTCTAAAGTTCAAAATCAGGTGAGAGACTTAGTGGAGAATCAGAAAAATAGTAAAAAATATTTGCCATTAGAGGGAGCTGACATAGGTCACAAAACAAGCTCTGTGAGGGTTTATTTTCAGACATGATGCTCAGTGAAAAAGCTTTGCAATACATTTGGAGTGCAGATTGTTTCTCTTATTTCTAAAAATGTTCACATCAGTGATTGTGTCTGTATGAAGTGTTTCATACAATTTTATAATCCACTGTCAGTGTTGGAGATGTATTGAGCTCTTAGTGGAATGAACTACAGAATGCCTTTTAAGTGCCCAACTCAATGCCAGAGATCATAAACAGACTGAAGCAGGAGGAACATGTTACATTCTTGCTGCTTGACAAAAGTCCTCACAATGGTATCACAATGGATGGGATTGATTGTGTGGAATGTCCATATCTTGCACTCATTCTCCACACCAAGAAAGAAAAAAATATGTTGCTATCTATGGAGGGACAGCCTTGTATGAGACTAGTTGGAGGTAACAACAGACTCTTAGGCATGTACACAGGAAAACCCAACTAAACAGGGAGACTTAGGGTATGCATCATCCTCTTTCCTTCTTGAGAGATGTTTGCTAATGTCTAGCTGGAAAGAATCATACGCGTGAAGAGTCAACTCATATGCGAGTCATGTCCTCTTCTTGGACGAGGGTATTGAGATTGGCTGGGGCTGGGGTAGCCCAGTCACATTCCTCTGTCGTGTCTGGTTCATTAAGGTTCACCCTTCCACCCCCTTGGAGAGGGTTGAAGGACCGCATCTGCCTCCCATTCATGTTGTTCTTGGGTGCCTTTGCCTTTCCATTTGCTTTCCCCCGCTGCTGCTCTCCATGGCCCTGGCCATGAAGGAATGTAGCCATACCCTCACTGTGTTTGCATTCTTCATCTGTTGCCAGGTGTTGACCCAGGTCCATGAACTCCTCACCACCTCCCGCAAAGTACTGTCATACATAAAACAAGTGCATCATTAAAAAGTCTAGATTTCTATCACATCTGGAAAGTAACACCATTGAGTTTCATAAGGAGGTGTCAACAGAGGCACAAGGAAATTTGCATGAGTGTAGATATGCATCTCCTTGGGCTACGATTCTGTGAACTACTTATGTACTGCTCTGTACTGGTACCATTGTTTGCCACTTCCAGAATGTCATGTGAGCGAGCAGGTGACTCTTATCTGTCAGCAATGCTGGGAAGTAATTAATTTTAGAAGCATTTAAATACTGTAGTTACAGGTAATTAATTACAATTGCAATTACTTTTGCACTCATTGTATTTTTTTCTTTCTTCATGGCAAAAGCTCCAATGGAACAAACCACTAGGTCTCCATTTCAGCCATCAATCCACACTTTAACTTTGTGACGTCATTCTTATAAGAATAAGGTGCTTTTCCTTATTCTTTCGAGGGGAAGAAGAAGGGATTTTCATTTTTCAAACAAGGAGAGCATATTGGACCGCAGGAAAATCCCTAAATTCAGTCTCAATTCAAATCTATGGTGGAAAAAATGCTGTAACTATTCCTTTGTGAAATCCACTTCTTGACGTTTCGCAATTCTCTTTCGGCATTTTGTAAATGCGGAAAGTTGTCAGAAGAATAGACGAAAAGCGACTGCATTTCCGGCAAACTGAAATTCATTTTTGTTCAAGAGGAATGTGCTGCATTCGGAGATGTACGGTTTTACCAATGAAGTGCCATTTTCAGCGTTTGAATGAAACTTCCTCTCTACTGCTCTCCGATGTGGAACTGAATGTGGAATACTGCGAAAGGAATGTCGAGTTTTTCAACGGAAGCATTTTCCCCGAACACTTTGTATGAGATTGCAGGCACGAAGTTCATGAGTCCTACAAAATCATACGAAATTGAATTCTAACAAATGCGTGCTGATGCAATTTTGTTCAACGAGAATTCGAAAAACTAACCCCTGCATTTATATTGCTAATCATCCCTCGATTCGGCATAGTTCAATTCGTAATTTATGAGTAAAAATTAAAGATGTTCTTCGTTGGGATCACAGCACCGAACTCATCGTAAGTGGAGCATCTCAAATCTCAATAGCTCATGATTTGTCCTCAAGTTCTTTGTAGTTTCCAAACATGATTTCACTTAGACGTGTTACATTCTACCCACAATGGACTGTGCAAAGTTCATCCCAGGGGCGGAATACATGAATTGCAGCCATGCGCTTCTTACCTTCCAATTCCTATCCCTAGAAGAACGTCGCCTTCGAGTAATAAAAAAGTATGCAAATTTGCTATATAATTCCCACCGGCGACAGTTGCTCCCTCTCTACTGGCAATCCATTGACATGTAGTTGTGTTGTGACCCTCTATATCTTCTTGAGAAAATTCGCTGTTACACTTAATGTTACAACGAATCCACAATACCTTCCGTGGTGCAAATCTTGAACCATGATTATTGTTCAGTTTGACCGATCCGTCAGTCAGCCTAGTCTCTTCTCTCGTTTTCTGTACAATTCTTCTTTGACTACATGACAAGTTTTCTTCATCCTATCCTTATTGACGATGAAAACCAGTTTGCCAAGCACTGTATTTCCTGATATGCAATTCACCATTATTATTATTATTAGCATTACGTTTCGGGAAAAAGTAGATGCTCTGCGAATGTGAGGAATACATGGATTAGGGCACTTGACTACGGCTATGATAATACCGTGTTGCGGGGGGTGAAGTGGTGTGGGTAGTTGGCTTGGGATCGTTGATGACAATAGCAGCCGAGGGAGAAGATGAGCATGAGAATGACGATGACGGCGATGAAGATCCCTATGACCAACTCCTGGTTCCTCACGAAGAATCCTTCCCTTCCCTTTCCCTTCTCCATTTCCGTTGGAAGCCCTTGGGATATCCGGGAGATATTCATCTCCAGCTGCACACACAAAATATATCACCCATCCCTGCAGCATTCCATCACGTAGAAGATATATCCAATCCAATCTGATGGTCCGTGATGCTATTTCTATCGTCATCTCTATCTCGGGTTTCACCTTCTGGGGAAGGCGGCTCGTTACGAGGTGAAAAATAAATCGCACGCCGGAATGGAGCATTATACAAACATTTCCTTTGAAACTTCGGCCAGAAAAGGGCACAGAGATTGAGTGGAGGGTACGAAGGAGTGTTGACCCACATGTCATGGGAAGTTTTAGAATGAAATCCGCGATAATAATTAACAAAGACCAGGCATCACTTAAATGAGAGGGAAAGAGAAATGATGAATGAGGAGAGGTGATACGAATTTATGAATCCCTAATCCTAACCTATAGTTTCCCCTTCCCTATGTCCCGTCATTCTCGCATAATCAATGCAGCGTGGGGAGTTATCGATGTATGAGACAGTCAGCACGGTAACGAGAGGCGCGTAGCACGAATGTAGAGGTTTCGTTCTTTCTTGCTGAAAGAAGTTGTCATGCAAAAAGAAGTACGATAAGACGAATGAAGTTCTACTGAAACAAGTGTCATGGCATGAATAAAAATCAACGTTGAGGTTCATGGGTCACTACATTGTGAAAAATCCATCAAGGGGGGTGTGCGAGTAGACCGAATCTTCATTTTGCGCAGAGGCCATGGACAAAGAGCAGAAAATGCCACCCGATGCACTGGGGAAAACATCATTGCTCCGTTTATCGTCCTTCGCTCAAGCTCTCAAGTCCCACGAACTCCCACAAGGAAAGCAGCTCCGAAAAGAAAAGTAAATAGGCAAAGACTCCACCCATTAACGAATGATTTTCTATTTCAAAGAAGTATACCCCCCCCCCCCACGCGCTTCATAGTTTGTCGGAACTTTAATGCATGGTCATGAGTTAACAGAGATGTGTCAGAGCCTTAACGCTATGTTCTTCCGACCACGAAGTTCATCGAAACTTACTACATAATTCCGGAAAATTATATTCCTAGTAACGTTTCATTTTGTACAGGTACGAACACGCATGCAGACAACATAGGTGATTCGATATCATAATCACGTCACGAAGCCGTCATTCTGGTTCTTATAGTAACTAGATGCGAGCATCAATTTGCAGAGGTGTGTATGTAATTGAGACGCTGATGATTTACCAGTAGGGGAAAGTGGGGCAATACCGAATACCTTAGGAATATCTGCTTTGTAGGCCAGGAATAGTGATTTGAGTCGTACTTTAAATCAGTTTCTATTTTTTAAAGAGATGCAGTATTGAAATCAAAGATAGACTAGTTGGCGACTAACAAGCATTTTTAACAGAAGCGATGATTTTCAAGAATGACTTCGTTCAAATTTACCCCAGCTACTGGGGTAAATCCGAACATTGTAAGAAAAAATTCTGATCAGCGCCTCCAAATTTACTTATGGACAGAAATCGCACACGTATCCCATGGGAGCACCGGGAATCTCCTCGGTGCGCTTTTCGTGCGCCCACTCTTGAGCATGGAGCTCAAAACCCAGTCCTCAAATAGTCACAGCATCCTTTAGAGGTAGGCAACAAGGGAAAAATGATGACGTTACTATTCTAAAAACCACTCTCGCGGCCTTGTTACATTATCATCCCTGCATAATCATATAAACATCCAAACGAGTTGAAGTTACCATGGAGATACACCCAAGCTTTTAGTGCTTATTTCAGGATTCTCTTCAGTTTCTCTCTCCGGCCTATTTTCTCTTCATGGAATGTTAACCTTTAACTTGTTGCGTCCATTTTGGTGCTCATAAGTCGGATCAGTAGACATGGAAGCGCCTGTAATGTTAAATATCTCGACTCCAATTGCATTTCCGACTCCATTCATGACTCCGTTTTTGTATTTGCGCGACATCTGAAAAGCATTAAGATATGTACTTAGGGTGTCTCAAAAGTTCTTGTGCATATATGTACGTTTTATTTGATGACATGTTTCGGAATAGAACTTAATTTGGTTGTATATGTGTTTGGTCCTATATTGAAGCGCGTGTCAAGGTGCGGATTAATATCTATTGTTGTTGTACATTTCGTCTCATTTAGGATAATTGTAGCATCCAGAATGGCTGATTAGAACTTAATTTGGTTGTATATGTGTTTGGTCCTATCTTGAAGCGCGTGTCAAGGTGCGGATTAATATCTATCGTTGTTGTACATTTCGTCTCATTTAGGATAATTGTAGCATCCAGAATGGCTGAAAAGAAACTTGCACTTCGGGTACTGTTGCGTCACTTCTGGAAAAAAGGCTTGAGTGGGAAGGCGGCTGCCGAACAAATCTGTGCAATCGAAGGTGAAGGTGTGGTCCACAGAAACACCGCAGCAATTTGTTTCAAACGCTTCAACGAAGGAGACACCAGTCTCGCGGACAAACCTCGCTCGGGACGACCATCTGTTGTGGACAACGAGGCCCTTCGCGCAATGGTGATGGAGCAGCCGCATGCCAGTACCCGTGAATTGTCGGCAGCACTTGGCCCTTCCAAAGACTCCATCAATCGCCACCTGCACCAGTTGGTGCAGGTGGCGTACGTACATACGTACAAAAACGTACAAATACAAAACGTACATATATGCACAAGAACTTTTGAGACACCCTAGTAATTACCCAAAATAGGATAGCATGAGTATTAATTAGGTTGCATACAGTAATTCGTATTCTCTGCAATGCCAAAGAAAAATAATGTTGGGCAAATCCGAACGTTCGGTTTTCCAGTACGGGGAAATCACACGGCTTCCAAATTACACGATTTTACTGCCTCCCCACTCTGCACGACAATATTGACTCACTATTGACAAGTGGTTGACGATGTTGATGGAGTCTTGATGCTGATGATCCAATAGTCTAGATAGATTCAATTTTGAAAATATCAATATTGCGAGGACATGGAAATTGCGTTGCGCTTCTATCAAATACTTCAGTCAAATATCCAGTCAACATGAAATCAAGAACTGTCGGGCGAGACATCTGACCGTGACTCGAACAAACAAGGTTCCTTGACCCAGAAGTGAGATGGCAAAAAATCGCCAACAGAGCGAGTTACCGCATATATTTAACCGGCATACGTCCCCAGTACTTCTCGAAAGGTATTTGATATTTTCACCACAGACGCACAGACGACACCGGGGAAGGTATCAAGGAGACAGCCCGACCCAACGAGACCCAGGGTAATTCTGAGCCCAGGAATGGAGAGAAGAAAGTTCCTGTGATGATTTGATTCCATGAGACCAGACTTTCCACCATTGATAGAAAGAGGAATCCCAAACCTCATCCTGTGGGTCGCGCGGGAGGATACATCGAGTGATTTTCAGCCATGTTTTCATTGGCTGGAATCACTGTATTGATTTCTTGCTTCCGCGAGACAGGGGTGTCTCTCTAATCTCAACATGAAATCGTTGTCGGGATTAGAGAGGGGCATCTCTTTGCTCGATGTCGGAGATTGGAGGAAACTAAAATCTGGCTGATGCAACATCCATAGAGAATTTGAGCACTCAAATGGAGCGTAGTATGGATTCAGGGGCAATGTTGAGACCTGTTTCATTTCAACATTGAGCAATGTTGAGTCAATGTTGCAATCGATGTTTTTCAACATTGACTCAGCATGGTGGATGTTGAAACTTTAATGCCCTTACAACGTTGTATCAATATTGTTGCGCTGACTAGCTCTGCTTCCATCATTTTCTTTACTCCTTGGGGGGGAACAGAATCCTCAAGACACCCGGCGGAAATGCAATTTTTTAGTTTAGTCCAGCTTCAGCCTTCTACCCTTCCTCCCATGGCTCCAAACGCCAAGGCCCTCCACCCTCTCCTGGCTTATTTAAAGACTCCTCTGCGTTTTTCCAGTACCATGTTTGAAAAAAGACCGATCTCGAAATGAATTCCTGTAGTAGAGACTCAGAATACCCGCCAATTCTCTAGTTATGAGTTCCTATTAGTTCATATCATTCTGCATGGACGAATGAGAGCACTTAGCCCTAAAGGGATTCCAATGAAATATAATCGTATAGGGATCTTATTCTCTGCAGAGGCATTATTAGACAGGACAATATTTCCATTTCGAAAAGGTGCGCTTAGAGCAGTTCTGCAGTAAATAGGAGGTGTGACAAAAAACTATATTCAATCTCTACGCGGAAATCCACTTGCTGGAGGGACATCCACTTAGTTCCAAAGCCACCCACCGCCTATCTCCCTCTTATCCACCTACCATTCAGCATCGGTGAATGCAGGTGGACATTTTTCAAGGAAGCAGATAACTCGGCATTGCTTTATTTTGCATTAACTTTAATCTATGCTGTAAACATCCTAAACCTTTCGTCCGTATTTCTCCAGCCGCTTTACCATAGAGCAATTTTACGCAAGAAATTCGAATTTTATTATTGCGCTTACATTGCGGTACTAACCTTCAGTCCTGTGACAGACCAGGATAGGTAATCGTTCTCTTCTTTTTCCTCGGCATTGCAAATTTCCCTGAATAGATTCGTATGCCTCTGGGACTTTTGTGTCCCTAGATTATCATCTCGAGAAACAACTGCTTTTTCCGCATTCCGCTGCAGTTCTCTTCAGGTTGAGCTATCTTCGGCCTACCGCTCCCTCTCTTCCCAGATGAACCAATTTCTCGAAATTTGTGAATCGATCTGCTGACGGTGCATATCTTAATGCTTTGGCCAGGAACTTCATGCACCATTCTTGCCCCGTCCAATCCTTTCTCAACATGACAGGCTCTAATCACGGCTCTGTCTTCGACGGAGAGAGCTACTTTCACGGACAGACTGAAGAACATTGACCCCGAGTTCGTGCTAACTATGCGCACAAGCCACTTTTCCGCTATTATCTTCACAGAGCAAAAATAAAATTCGAGTTGCTTTTGTAAGATCTCTCGAGCGGTAAAACGGCTTGTGAAACACGGATGAAAACGTGAGGGTATTTAGAGAAAAGAAAAGTAATTTCAAAGAGTGGCGCGGTTTTTATGCCTCATCCGGTAACGAGGATCACGTGGGCATGCGATAATACATTTGGTGAAGGCGGTCGCCACGACCGGCAACTCATTCGCCGATGAATCTCTATTATGTATTTTTTTTTTAAGTGGTGGGCGAACGTCCCAGTATTTTCACTATGCTACATGGATCGAAAGCATACCTTGAGAGAGAGAGCAAAGATTTGATCCTGGAGGGCATGAAGTAGTACTTGTCCGTCAACCCACGGGCTCACTTTACTACTCTCGTTTCTCTCAGCCATTTCCTTGTTCTTGCTCTTGTCTTTGACTACCAAGGACACGAAAAACGCCTCATCTTCCCCTCGTGGGGTCGGGTCCACATAAAGTACATCAGAAGAATTCAGTCCCCAGCTCCATTCCTCCTCGGTTTCGTTCTTGCTTCGGGACATGAGCTCCTGGACGGGTGAAAGTCAGCAGCATTAAATATAGTAGAGTTTTTACGCACAAACAGAGGCTTAGGCGACGTGTCGATGAACTTGTTGCAAGTCTGACGAAAAGGCGAATATGGCAATCTTGAAAATGTTCAGCAGGGCAACGATTTACCTGTCTTCCAGGCAGAAAAATTATTATTGAAGACTATTTACCTGTTGCATCAGGGAACTCAGACTCTCAGCTCTCTCGTGCAAAGGTGGATATTTCTTATTCGAACTTATTTTCGAAAAAAAAGGGATTTTCTTGCCTTCATGAAACATTTTTGAAATCGTATATTCAGGCTTTTGTCAGACTTGCGACGAAATGTACTTAGTCTTACTTTCTATTCAGCGTCCTTGCACTGGCCTCAGACACCTGCCTACGTGCATATACGTAGGCAGCATTTATTTGGCAGTACAGGCATCTAGCCTAGAGTTTTCTCCCGTTAGCTTTCTTCAGTCAACCCCTTGTGTTTGCCTCTTGTCAAGAGCCTGGGGATGTTTGTTAGGATCTTTGGGATTGCCACCATTTATAACTTTGACACTACCGTATCAATATAGGTTGGCGGCTAATGAGGGGTGGTCAAGAAGTTATGCAAACAAAAAATCCTGAAGGCTTATGGGCATTTCACATTTTGCGTGTCATGCATCCTTTGCGTGGATGCTTGGACAGGTAGGCAGACGCAAGCGTGCGTCTGCCTACCTGTCCAAGCCTGCCTACCTGTTTCGTATTGTCATTTACCTACTAGGTAAATGACAATACGAAACCTAGGCCTGATGCGAAAACCGAGTACCAGGCCCAGATCAAGGCATAACGCCAACAGGGCCGTATCTAGGATTTCATTTCGGGGGGGGGGGGGGGGGGGGGGGGGGGCGGGGGGGGGGGGGGGGG